AGAGTAGGGGCCTGGCCACACCACTCTCGAATCTCGAAAGGATTTTTCGAGAGGCCGGTTTTCGAGAGAAAGGGCCTCGCCACACCACTCTCGAATCTCGAAAATTCGTGAGTGGGGCACCGCCACACAGCATCTCTCGAAAAAAAAACTTGAAACTGTTCGAGAGCTGTCAGAAAGCCATTTCGAGTGCCTTCTTGAAACGAGGTTTTCGCCCAGCCTGCAGCCTTGGAATTTTCGTGATACCGCCCATCCTCTCTCGAGCTCGACGTCCATTTCGAGAGTTGTCAGGCCGTTTTCTCGTGATACCGCCTGTCGTCACTCGAGTTCGACCGTTTCGAGAGGCCGGTCTAGTGTGCTATGTGGCGAAGGGCCATTTTCTCTCGAAAACCGGCCTCTCGAAAAATCCTAACAGCTCTCGAATATTTTCGAGATTCGAGAGTGGTGTGGCGAGGCCCAAAATGGCCCTTCGCCACATAGCACACTAGACCGGCCTCTCGAAATGGACACGGACAAGCGGCATCACAAACAAACGGCCTGACAACTCTCAAAATGGATGTCGAACTCGAGCACGGAGGGGCAGTATCACGAAAACTCCAACGCTGCAGGCTGGGCGAAAACATCGTTTCGAGAGGGCACTCGAAAATGCCTTCCTGACAGCTCTCGAACAGTTTCGAGTTTTTTTTTCGAGGGATGCTGTGTGGCGATGCCCGACTCACGAATTTTCGAGATTCGGGAGTGGTGTGGCGAGGCCCTAGCTCTCGAAACTCCTAAACGCTCAGCCTGCAGCACCGCTCTTTTCAAGCGTCCTCCCGAGGGAACTCGAAGGACTCTCGATTTTCAAGAGCTGTCAGGCCGTTATCCTGAGGCCAGTCCGAAAAAACACAGCTGTACATTTGTCGTTTTGCATTCTTTGTCCAACACCATCGCCCTTTCGAGAGTGCTGTGTGGCCAGGGGCCCGAAACTCTCAAAAACCCAACTCTTGAGAACGTCTGCAACTCTTGAAAAATTTCCCCGTTTCGAGAGTGGTGTGTGTGACGAACCACTTTTTGCAACGCGCGATTTTCTGCGCGGTTGCAACGAGGGGTCCTAAGCTGGGAAGGTTGGGCTAATTACGGGAGACCAGGATCGGTGGAAAATTGCATCAGTGTCCTTGCTTTTTCGTCTTTTTCGTCGCTACTTTTCGAATGACTGGGTTCGGAGCTGGGTGTGTCCTGGGATGGACGGTTGATTGATTGGTCGGATAGATGGCTGGATGCCTGGCGCGCCATCGCGCGCGCGATTAATAAATGTTGACATCATTTCTTTCGTTCGATTTCGATCTTTTGGGCGCGGACATCGCGCGGGAAATTGCTTCGTTCTTTTGAATCTTTCTTCTGAATCTCTTTTGAATTTTGCCGGGCCCCGATGGCTCTCGGAATTTCGGACTTTCTTTCTGGAATTCGCGCTTTTTGCTTTTCCGCAGTAGATAGGAATTTAGGAATTCGGTAATTAGGATTTTCTTGTCGCACGGCGCCTTTTGTCTACGCGCTTCTTTATGCGGCTGCAACGGTATTCTGATTAGTAGGCGCCCTTAATCGTGTGTGTAACTGTAATTTTGGGCGGGCGCCATTGTAACTGTATCTCTCTTCTTGCACTTTGTCTCTCCCGCCCTCTCTCTCTTTCTTTTGCTGAAATTTTTGTAAGTCGCGGCTTGCATGCTCGGATCGATGCGTGGAGAAGGGTTACGTCCCCCACGCCGCGACCGATCATGCAGAACGCAGGCGCTCCCTCTCTAATCCCCACTCTAAGTCCTGGTAATTCCGTGTTCTTCGCGCATGCATGCACGCTATAAATTCCAGCTGCGCGATTAGTCAGCTCTCTTAACCCGTTGTTGGAAGCTTGGGGTTGCGCGATCAGGAAGGGTCGGCACACGAGCAAAGTAAGAGATGAGTAGAGTAGGAGTTGGGCGACCCGATGGGCTGGTGCCAAACGCGCGGGATTGACGTGGGCCACGACGGACAGTGGGCATGGGCGAATCTGACGGGTGCGGGAGGACTAAGCGGGGTGACGACTTTGTGGATTGGTGCGTGACGACGGACTGTCCGCATCGAAGAAGAGAGAGAGAAGAGGAGGAGAGAGCTGAGGTCGATGGACGCGGATTTGCTGTTTCTTTGTCTCTTCCCCCTCTCTATCTTAGTATATAAATTTTGATTGCGGCTCCGGGCGGTTCGCCCGATCTTGTTTTCGTTTCGGCTTTCTAGAATCTGGACTTGGGTTTTTTGCTCACACTTGTCCTTGCGATGCCCGTCTCGGTTGCATTATGTGTATGATTGTTGAATGTATGGATGTATGGATGTCATGCTTGCTAGTCTATCTTTTGCTGAGAATCCTTGTCCTTGCTTTTGCTGATGTCGAATCTTTGCCTGCACCTGATGCCGTGGTAAATGGGATAAGAATTTGGCCCCGATAGCAATTTTGTTCTCGTTTTTGCTTGTCTCACGATTGGGTTGTGGTGTGATTGCATCTCGCATAACCAAAACTTGCGGAGCAATTAGACGGTCCGATGTCCGGCCCCGCGAACACCGTGCGAGGACACGTGTAAACGCGATCCGAATCGCGCCATTACACGCATCCCCGTGCGTTGATTCGCCCTCCCAAAAGGTCCGCGGCGGAACCATCATCCCGCACGAGCACGCTGAGGCGCGACTAAGCACACCTGCCATGCACGTGCTTGTGCGCGGTTACGATAACCCGACCGGAGTTATTCCGTATACAATGACACCATGACGCGATCTTGGAGCTCAGACTCATCCTACGACCCGGATTACTTCACCCCTTGGATAAACGAACTCTTACGACAGCGATATCCCTGTCACACGGAGAATCGATTATGTCCGCGGGAATTCCACTGCGCCACCTCTAGCGACCCCCGGTGCTCTGATTTCCCTTCCCCCGACCATACCTACCACTTCATTCATCCGGGATTTGTCGTCATCACCACCAGTTTCCCTCCTTTTCGCCTCCTTCTCCCGTATCAACTCAGCGCCGTTCCGTGGCCGGCCATAGCCCCCTATTGGCCCAGCACGCCTTGCGGAAATTGCCGACATAGCGGCGAGCGGAGAACCCCAGAATTCCGAAGGCCCAACCCAAACACGCCGCGGCCTGCGCCACGTGGCGGCCCCGGACGGACCAACTTTTCGGGACCGCCTCCTCCGCGGAGGAACTTCCCCGCAAACCGTCGCCCACAGTACCCCGGCCCCATCGGGCCTTGAGTCCCTTGCGCACGCGCCCCTTGTTCGCCTAATTGCATTCGTACCCCTAAGATTCCCCCACTTTTTCCAAAAATCCTTGGCACACCCTTTTCCGCACTTCCAGGCCCACATCCCACTCCGATCAGGACGTCGCGTTGGGCGTGAGGTTGGTATCGGAGCCCGACACGTGGCTAGGGTCTTAGGATTGATAGCACGGTAATTAGGCGACCTGGCTAACCGAGGGCGACCTCGCCCTCGGAACGCGCATAGACGCGACCCTATCGTCACCCGAAGCAGATCGGCTAACCGACGATCAGCCAATATGGCTGCTAATGTGCCAAACCCGGTTCCACAACAGAATGCTAATCCACCAAATCAACCCGCCCCACGTGCACGAGCTCCCATGACGCTACCTGATCTCTATCTATTTGATCCGGCGCACCATCTCGCAGGAGCATGGCTGGCCACACTTAGAGCCCAACAGTATACTGACAATGAAGCGCAGATCAACATTCCCGCCCGATTGGGGGGAAACGCTCATCATTGGTTTAACACCTACGTGTGGGTCGATCTCCCGACCTTCGAAAGGGATTTCATGAACCGATTTGATTATGTTTACCCCGAGCAAGCGCTATACATGATCAAGGACCGAGTGCAAAAACCTCTCGAATCCGTTGCGGAATATTGAAACCGGTTCTACAGAATGTTCGTAAAAACTGAGCGAGGTGAACAAGTAGGAAGAGATCTATTCATTGACGGACTTCGCAATCGACGATAAGAGCTAAGTTGCGGAAGCAATTTTCCCCCATCACTCACACGCTACAACAAATCATGGCTGCTGCAGAAGAAATGGAAAGGAAGTTCACGGCGAACTTCCTGGAAGGAGAAGACTATCCTAGAGAAGGGGATTCGACCGGACTTGCACGAGCGAGAGTTGAATTAGCCGCCTTACAGAATAAGTTTGAAAACATGGGGTTTGTGTCAGGACCTGTCACCTATATGGAACAGATAGGCCCCAAACGAGTGATCCTAAGTGAGGTTCCGAGCACGTTCGCTCCTGCGATGCCCCCACCCGTAAGGACGTTACCCCCGCCACCAGTTGAGGCTCCCGTACGAACGAACGAATCAGCGGTCATTTTCGAACTAACCAAAACCTTGATTAGTTTGATCCAGGAAAGCAAAAAGGAGCAACGAGAGCACAATGCTCGGCTGGAAGCCATGATGAGGAACATGCGGCCCATTGCGATATGCGCCCCTCCGATGCAGCAAGGATTAGCCCCGACACCTGCACTCGGAGAAGTCACAAATAATCTAAATGTCTGTTATGCCCGCCATCAGCCAGGGCATTTGGCCCGAAACTGTCCCCACCGACCCCCGTAACAACGGATCGGGGTCGCACCCATGGCTACGGTCCCCATCGCTAACGGGCCTGACCGAGTCGGAGCCTTGATGGAAGAAGTGGAGGGTGGGGGAAGTGCCCTGGCCACCACGGAAGAGGCCGCCGAGCTAATCCCGTTAGATCGGTACGTATCGCTCGGATATCCTGGGCTTGGAATGATCTGAACAATCAGACCAGCGCCAGAACCGAAAGAGGTGGCGGAATGGCGACCGTCTCTAGGAGAAATGGAGTCGGGAGGACCCACCTTCGTCACAGGAGAGATCGATGTATTAAATATCATCCGAGCCTTGGACCATCGGATTCCACTTCCGATCGGTCACCTACTCTCGATCTCCGAGCAAGCCAATGAGCGAATGTTATAACACTGCAAGGTGAACCGAAAGCGATTCGCCCTCGCCCGAACACCGAACGTAAAGACCAAAAGCCCCGCGCCCGAAGAAAACCCAACAGGCGCTTCGGATCCGATAGGGTAGGTTTAATCCAGAAATACGACCATTTCCTACGGATTAAACCAATTCCGTGGAAATCCGCAGAATGCGATATTGAAATTTGGGGAATTCCTTACAGCGCAATTATAGATTCGGGAGCAGCTGTGCTGGTTATTTCACTGAGAGTGGTCGAAAGGGCAGTTAGGAAAAACGATCTGATCATGCTCACTGAGAAAGATCAGCTCGTCTCGGCAGATGAAGAAAAGATCAAAATTGTGGGAAGAATGACCAATGTCGCTTTCCGATTGGGAAAAGTGCACGCGCTTGGGGATATCGTAGTACTAGATGTTAATACGTATGACGTTCTCTTCGGACTTCCCACTGTTGTGGCGTTACGAGCAAACCTGGACTTCGAACGACGATCGATCGTCCTCCGAAATACAGGAGGAAAACCCTACGCTGTGCCTATGCGATTGACCCTTCGTACTACCATTAACACGGTCCCACGGGTTTCGCCGATGATGGTAGGGACGCTCCGCATGATCTCCTAGGATGAATCCACCGATGAAAAATCATCGACGAATGACGCGGATAGCAGTGACGAAGATGATCCGGAGATCTTGAAACTAGCACGACAGCGCGTTTACTACCCGCCGCCCAAAACGATAGCGAGGACGATGCAATTGACCAGCCGAAAAATTCAAAGGACCAAGGCGATGATCTTGGGTGAACCCCTCGTGCAGATTTCGAGGATGGTCGACTCTTTGGAACCCCCTCAAACTCTGTACGAAGGAATCACCCCTCTCCTCGCCCGATATAACGACAAGAAGCATTACTGCGACATCATGGATCTACCCAAGTCCTTGTTGACATCTGCGAAAGAAGTAAGATTGTTACGCTTGGGGGCGGAAGCAAGTTCTCTGAAACCCCCTGGGCATCTCGAAGCCGCGACAGACAAACTGGGGATAAAGATCACAACTAAGAACGTGCCATGGCAGGATATTTGTGACGGGATTACCCCGGAAGGACACGTGGCAATCCGGGAAGAAGATGCCCAGATGATGGCCACGGTGTTCTCCTAGCGATCGGACCATTAGTTCATCTCAGCGCCTCTGCCCGACGTGGCAAAACAGACGCGCACGAAACATCTTGACGTTCGGATCGAGGATCAACTTTTTGAACTACACGTTCCACAGTACGTACCGGATGAAATCCATCACTGGCAGGTGATTGCGGACATTCTAACGGAATATCAAGGAGCGATTAGTGTGACAGATACTGACATTGGGTTGTCGTTAGTAATCCAACATAAAATTCAGACAGGAAATCACTCCCTGATTCATTGCAAACCTTACCGGTATTCCTTGATTAAACACAAAAAGGCTCTCGAACGAATACGGGAGTTCGAAGCCAGCGGCTGGATTGAACCCGCCACCGGACCTTCGTCGTTTCCCGTAGTGTTAGTACTCAAGAAAAACGGAGCGATTCGCATTTGCATTGATTATCGCAAACTGAATGAGATCACGAACAAAGATGTGTATCCCCTCCCCCGGATTGACGATTTGCTGGATGCGATTGGGTGTGCTAATTATTTTAACAAGTTTGATATTCAGCATGGGTTTCATCACATTCTGGTTAAAAAGGAAGATCGGCCGAAAACGGCCTTTGCGTTGTTTGAGGGTACGTGGCAGTGGGTTCGGTGCACGATGGGGATTTGCAATGCGCTTACCACGTTTCAGCGAGCGATGAACATGACGTTCCAGAATTTCGTCAATAAGACACGGCTGACACAAGGGATGATTAACTTCTGCGTCATCGTGTACATGGACGATATCCTGGTCTATTCAAAAACTTATCACGGGCACGCGCAACATATCGAATGGACATTGGGCGCGTTAAGAGATGCTGGGTTCAAGATTGCACTCGAGAAGAGCGAATTTTTCCTCTCGGAAATTTCGTTCTTGGGCTACGTCGTGACACGTGGAGGACTACGACCGGACTCAAGAAAGGTTGCGGCGGTGAAAGAAGCCCCGGTTCCCACGTCACTGACGCAGGTTCGGGTCTTCTTGGGGTTATCATTGTACTACCGACGCTTCATCAAGGGGTTTGCCGCGATTGCACGACCACTAACGAATCTGCTACGGAAGGACCAACCTCTCAGTTGGGACGCGGAGTGCCAGCAGACCTTCGCAACCCTCAAGGACGCTCTGGCGACGACCCCTATTTTGATTCGGTCGGACCCCTCGAAGCAGTCCATTCTCATCACGGACTGGCAACCGGAAGCTATTTCCGCTATTCTAGCGCAGAAGGGGAACGATGGTCGTGAACATGTTATCGAATACGCGTCACGCACAGTGCCAGACGAACGCCGAAATGACTCCGCACCTCAAGGCGAGTGTTATGCGGTAGTTTGGGGAATCCAACACTTCCATCCGTACTTCTACGGACAGAAGTTTCGCCTTGTGACAGATCACGAGCCTCTGCTAGCTTTGAAAAAGCTCACCAACTACATGGGCATGATTGGCCGTTCGGCGGTGCGACTGCAAGAATACGACTTTGATATCATCCATCGAAAGACAGAGCGACACGGCAACGCGGACGGGCTGACACGTCTGCATCGACCTGCCAAGGTACCAAAGGGCGAGGAAATTACACCGTGGAAAGAGCCGGACTTGACCAACGAGCCTAAGTACGGACAGGTGGCAGTTCTCCCACGTGGCAAGAAGCAAAACGGTGGCGATGGGTGACGAAGGTAACCCCACTACCCCTCTTTCTCCCCCCTCCTCCTCGTCTCTCCTCTCCCTGCCTGACAAATTTTGCTATTTTTGCGAAGCTATCTCCCGCGTATACTCGGTCGCCATGCGTCCTAACGGGGAAGGGTAGGTTGATTGGGTAGATTGCCGATAGTGTGTCGCACAAGCCCATGGCTCGTGCATCCAATACAGAAACGGTAGTAAACCGTGGTTGTGCCCCTTGTGCCGGACCGACAAGATTCCGACCGAGGCTCGCTTTTTAAATGCCACGTCAGAAGGGTTGGAAAAGACCCGGAAGTTTAGAAGGGCCAAAGTATGGACTGAAGTATTGCCTTAATTGCCACCCTAGTAGGTAACCCCCTCCAAGAGTTCACCAAGGAAGATCGGAGGAGGGCCAACGAAAGGGCTCGGGATTATCGATGGATAGAAGGTAGATTAGAAAAACGGAAGACGGACGGCAGTGGGATTTGGATGGTGGTACCGCATCCATTCATGCGGTACGACTGGGTTAAGACAGCCCACGAGGAAACTGCGGTCCATTTTGCCGTACGAATCACGGAGTCCGCTATCGACAAAAATGAGTGGTACTGGTCCAATATCCGCGACGATGTGAAATACATCGTCGGCAACTGTCAAGTCTGCGCCACTGATAAAGTGCCGATTCAGCCCCCAAGATCGATAGTGCCCACGGTTGTTGAACGACCATTTCAAAGAGTGAGCATGGACACTACCGACATAGTGGTGCCCCCCGACCCTAATAGTTGCGAATATTCAGTCGTACTGGTATTCGTCGACCATTTCTCAAAATGGATCGAGGCGTATCCTTGTCGCACGCGGCAAGCCACGGAAATCGCGCGATATGTCAACCGTTTCCTCGGGATGCATCAAGATACGGAAGAGATCCTGACCGACAATTGGGCTGAATTCATGGGAGAAGTGCTAAGGAATCTGGTCCTACATGGCGTCGCCATACGGAACACTGCACCCCACATGTCACAATCCAATGGGCTGGTCGAGAACGCTAACCGGGTGATAAAGACAGCATTGCGACGAAATATCGCGGCACGAGATCCAAGGCCCTGGCCCGATATCGTCGATCACATCATGACGGTCCATCGCGGAACGGCCCATGATGAACCGACGGCCCACCAGGGCCACGACTCAGGACAAGGCCAAGCGGCACCTAGAGTTAATGGAACGGTCACTGCCCAGGCTAGCCCGAAAACGACAGAAAATGACTGAACTAGCCCAAGGCCGACAGGTCCGAAGCTACGAGGCCCGAAATGGGAACGCGGGTCCGCGGCCCCACTACAAATTGGGGGACGTAGTGCAGATAAGGAAATGTGCTCGCCAGGGTAAGCTAGCGCCACAATTCTTCGGGCGATACCACGTGATCGAGCTCGGGCCTAACGGCGTGGACACCGTGCGTCTCGCCCCCGAGGTCTCTGGCAGTCGATCGGCTCGTCCAATCACACGCCACGTGTCCTATCTTCGCCTCCTCCCCTCTGCTCCGTCTCCTGCCCTCTCTCTCTCTCTCTTTGAGGAAGTTGACGACGATGACTCTGCCTCTCCGACATCTCCCTCTTCCTCTTGCTCCCTCTCTGCCTCCCCGTCGCCATCGCCATGAGTTTTTTGGAGGAAAGAGCCCTCAGCGAAGCAGCGCTTGCGCCCCGTGATCGATTGACGATCCGGCAGGTCCATCATCCCCGCCTCAGTCCAGATCTTCGGTGGCTCGCGCACTTTTTCTGCACGGAAGGCGTGTATGCAGCGGCGGTGTTCAGAATCGAAGGTCGGTCTGACGCGGTGGTACTGGCCGAGGCGGTAGCAGTTCATCAGCGAGCGGTGCCAGGTGTCAGCTGCATATCAGTCGTCATCAACTTCAGCGGCGATCGCTCCACGCTCCTTCCCTTACGACATTCGGCGGTGAAGACATCGCTGCGCGCGCGGGCAAACAATCTGGTCGCCGAGTGGACTCAGCTGCTGGCTCATCCCGGGGATACAATCGCGACGTCACGAGCAATCGAGTACGACGGCCTTCGGATGTATCAGCGCGATCCGCCGACGGAACTCCCTGTCCTCGTTCCCTACCATCCCCAATGAGTCTCTCTCCGATCTCCGTTTTTGATCTCCCCTCCACCTTCCCCACCTTCTGGCAGTCTGATATCCATCCTCGCCTTTCCTACTGTCTAAAGCCTCTTGTTGTCCCCCTTCTTCATCCTCCCCATTGGATCTTGTGGCGCGAGATGTTCATCGAACTTTCAGTTTGTTTGGTTGAGGTACGGCTGACGTGGACCGAGGACGGAACACACCCACCTCACATAGAGCGTCTGGAGTTGCTGCTCATCCAGGCCTAGCGCACCATCGTGGAGGGAGAGCTTCTCGTGTTCTTATTTGGAACAGTGCGGCCCGACCATCAGGAACTTATCGCGCAAGAACTCACGATCCCTGTAGCGCAGCTGGCGGATGATCTCCCTCTCAACATCATCACGCAAGACGACGAGCATTCAGTTCCCCATGTGCTTTCTCGCACATTGACGCCTTATCTTCAGTGGTCGGCTTGTGTAGAGGGAGCCGCAAAGCGCATTCCGCCGTCGCAGGAACAATACTTGGACCCCCGAACGGTTCGCGATCCTGCCTTCTTCAGGCACCCCACATCGGAGCAGTTCGCTGCCATTCGAGAAGAAGAGGAGGAAGAGGAGAGCATCGGGAGTGACGAAGACGAAGACGCGCGGGAGGAAGGCGGGGATAGCGACGAAGAGCTAGGTGAAGAAGACGAAACCCCCGAAGAAGGAAGTTATAGTGAGCATAGCGAGGGGGAACAGAGTGAGGAAGAAGAAGAGGATGAGGAAGGAGAAGAGGAGCACGAAGAAGAACCTGCGGGATCGAAATGGGAAGCCGTGTCGGAAGAAGCGCTGCGTACGGGTACAGAGGCTGAGGACCCCGATGCGGCCCGCAAAAGAGAAGAGATCGTGGCCGGGAACAAAGGGTTAGAGCTCGCAAGCGCGGCGAGCCTGCAGATCCGCGACGACCCAAACCAAGATCCGGAGCCGCCCCGACTTGAAGATGGCGACCTCGCGGCCACGACTCCGACCCCATCAGCGCGGCGACGGAGCCGATCCCCCTCCTCCCCGACCCGTCCCCCAGTTCGCCGACGTACCGATACGGGCGATCGGCCTTCGTCCCCGATCACTCTCTCACCGTCCCCTTGACTACCTCACCCTCCGCCAGCTCACCACCCCCGTCACGTTCCCCTCCAATCCGTTTCCCCGCGACACCTTCCGCCACTTCCACGCTGCTCGCCTCGCTATAGTAGTGCATCCCCACCCATCTATTCGATGCGTCGTCCCGGCCTTCTGCCTCTATGTCTTACTCCTTAGTGCCGCGTGGCGAGGCCACAATATGATCGAGGTTTATTGCGTGATAATGGGGACCATCCCCACATGCGAAGACCGCGATCGTTTCCGCGCGGTGCTCTTCCGAACTCTCACCACCCTCTATCCCGATTATCTCGCGTCCCTCCCTCGCACTGGCAATCGATTCCCCCGTTTTCATCGCATTGTTCGTTATCAGGAGCTCCCGGAGACTGTGGCCGGGATGGAAAGTCTCCTTCCCCCGCTAACCATAAACCCTCCACCCTGCCATGCCGCCATGTACCGACTTCCCTTCCCCCTCCCGGTTAATTACTGATGCAGCAGGTATTGCACGCGTGTCCCGGCGACGACACGAGAAAGATCCCGTCCTTGGATCGTCGAGAGCCCAATATGAGGAACTAGTAGAAGAGCAGTGTTGCTACGTTGGATGACGTCCAAACGCAATTGAACGGTAAGTGGCATAGAGAGAAGTGCCTCGCATGTCGGTCGATTAGAGAAATCGAAACGTGTCAACAAGCAAGCAGGAGCTTGCTAATATTGGCACACCCTGGGCATCACATATGTGATGAACCACTTTTTGCAACGCGCGATTTTCTGCGCGATTGCAACGAGGGGTCCTAAGCTGGGAAGGTTGGGCCAATTACGGGAGACCGGGATCGGTGGAAAATTGCATCAGTGTCCTTGCTTTTTCGTCTTTTTCGTCGCTACTTTTCGAATGACTGGGTTCAGAGTAGGGTGTGTCCTGGGATGGACGGTTGATTGATTGGTCGGATAAATGGCTGGATGTCTGGCGCGCCATTGCGCGCGCGATTAATAAATGCTGACATCGTTTCTTTTGTTCGGTTTCGATCTTTTGGGCTCGGACATCGCGCGGGAAATTGCTTCGTTCTTTTGAATCTTTCTTCTGAATCTCTTTCGAATTTTGTCGGTCCCCGATGGCTCTCAGAATTTCGGACTTTCTTTCTGGAATTCGCGCTTTTTGCTTTTCCGCATTAGATAGGAATTTAGGAATTCGGTAATTAGGATTTTCTTGCCGCACGACGCCTTTTGTCTACGCGCTTCTTTATGCGGCTGCAACGGTATTCTGATTAGTAGGTGCCCTTAATCGTGTGTGTAACTGTAATTTTGGGCGGGCGCCATTGTAACTGTATCTTTCTTCTTGCACTTCGTCTCTCCCGCCCTCCCTCTCTTTCTTTTGCTGAAATTTTTGTAAGTCGCGGCTTGCATGCTCGGATCGATGAGTGGAGAAGGGTTACGTCCCCCACGCCTCGACCGATCATGCAGAACGCAGGCGCTCCCTCTCTAATCCCCACTCTAAGTCCTGGTAATTTCGTGTTCTTCGCGCATGCATGCACGCTATAAATTCCAGCTGCGCGATTAGTCAGCACTCTTAACCCGTTATTGGAAGCTCGGGGTTGCGCGATCAGGAAGGGTCAGCACACGAGCGAAGTAAGAGGTGAGTAGAGTAGGAGTTGGGCGACCCGACGGGCTGGTGCCGAACACACGGGATTGACGTGGGCCACAACGGACTGTGGGCACGGGCGAATCTGACGGGTGCGGGAGGACTAAGCGGGGTGATGACTTCGTGGGTTGGTGTGTGACGACGGACTGTCCGCATCGGAGAAGAGAGAGAGAAGAGGAGGAGAGAGTTGAGGTCGATGGACGCGGATTTGTTGTTTCTTTGTTTCTTCCCCCTCTCTATCTGTGTATATAAATTTTGATTGCGGCTCCGGGCGGTTCGCCCGTTCTTGTTTTCGTTTCGACTTTCTAGAATCTGGACTTGGGTTTTTTGCTCACACTTGTCCTTGCGATGTCCGTCTCGATTGCATTATGTGTATGATTGTTGAATGAATGGATGTATGGATGCCATGCTTGCTAGTCTATCTTTTGCTGAAAATCCTTGTCCTTGCTTTTGCTGATGTCGAATCTTTGCCTGCACCTGATGCCGTGGTAAATGGGATAAGAATTTGGCCCTGATAGCAATTTTGTTCTCGTTTTTGCTTGTCTCACGATTGGGTTGTGGTGTGGTTGCATCTCGCATAACCAAAACTTGCGGAGGAATTAGACGGTCCGATGTCCGGCCCCGCGAACACCGAGCGAGGACACGTGTAAACGCGATCCGAATCGCGCCATTACACGCATCCCCATGCGTTGATTCGCCCTCCCAAAATGTCCGCCGCGGAACCGTCATCCCGCACGAGCACGCTGAGGCGCAACTAAGCACGCCTGCCATGCACGTGCTCGTGCGCGGTTACGATAACCCGATCGGAGTTATTCCGTATACGATGACACCATGACGCGATCTTGGAGCTCAGACTCATCCTACGACCCGGATTACTTCACCCCTTGGATAAACGAACTCTTACGACAACGATATCCCTGTCACACGGAGAATTGATTATGTCCGCGGGAATTCCACTGCGCCACCTCTAGCGACCCCCGGTGCTCTGATTTCCCTTCCCCCAACCATACCTACTACTTCATTCATCCGGGATTTGTCGTCATCACCACCAGTTTCCCTCCTTTTCGCCTCCTTCTCCCGTATCATCAACTCAGCGTCGTTCCGTGGCCGGCCATAGCCCCCTATTGGCCCAGCACGCCTTACGGGAATTGCCGACGTAGCGGCGCGCGGAGAACCCCGGAATTCCGAAGGCCCAACCCAAACACGCCGCGGCCTGCGCCACGTGGCGGCCCCCGACGGACCAACTTTTCGGGACCGCCTCCTCCGCGGAGAAACTTCCCCGCAAACCGTCGCGCACAGTACCCCGGCCCCATCGGGCCTTGAGTCCCTTGCGCACACGCCCCTTGTTCGCCTGATTGCATTCGTACCCCTAAGACTCCCCCACTTTTCCCAAAAATCCTTGGCACACCCCTTTTCGCACTTCCAGGCCCACATCCCACTCCGATCAGGAAGTCGCGCTGGGTGTGAGGTTGGGCGTCACAGTGTGGCGAGGCCCTGAGTCCTTCTAGAGCTGTTGGACGTGCAAAACTCCCCGAAAAAAAGGTCTTGGCTCCACTTAGGGCCTCGCCACAGCACTCTTGAAAACTCGTTTTCAAGAGTTGGTGCATCGCCACACAGCCTCTCGAAACTTGGGGCAGTCAAGGGCTGTCGGAGCAGCTCTTGAAACCCTTTCAAGAGCAGCTCAGCTCTCCAAAGAGGGAAACCCCAGCCTGCAACTCGTGCGTTTTCAAGCGTCCTCGGCCGAACCCTCGAGGGAGACTTTCGATTTTCGAGAGTTGTCAGGCCGTTATCCTGACGCCATTCGGAAAAAACAAAGCTGTACGACTGTCGTTTTTCATCGGTTGTCCAACACCATGGCCCTTTTGAGAGTGCTGTGTGGTGAGGGGCCGGAAACTCTTGAAAACCCAGCTCTTGAGAATGTCTGACAGCTCTTGAAAAAATTCCCCGTTTCAAGAGTGGTGTGGCTAGGGGGTTTGCTCGAGATGCAGTGGCGGAATGAGACGAGAGCTCTGACTGCACTAAAAGACAGCGCCGCCGTGTTCTGATGGTCGGGACACGAGGCGCACTCACGAAAAAAAATGGTCGGAGCGGGGGCACGAGGGAGGACACTGGAAAAGCATGTCATCGCAGGTTGGGCACTCTAGACACTTCGAGAGTGCCCTTTGAGAGTGCTTTCGGACAGCTTTCGAAGGGCGTTTTCGAGAGCACCTATCTAGAGTGAGTGGAGCGAGGCCTTACTCTCGAAGAGTATAGAGTAGTGGAGCGAGACCCCGTAATTGAGGGGCTCGCCACAGTAACCACGAAGGACCTCGCTGCGCTACTCTCCACATGCACAAAAAAGGAATGAATCTTCCCCTAGAACATGGAAATATACACCGCCATACTGTTTCTCGTTTGCGCATGTGGACAGTAGTGCAGCGAGGCCCGAAGCCAGAGAAATGTCGACCGCAACTACTGGCAGATGCACCTTGCGACCTTCTGTGTGCAGATGCACTAGACATTTTTTTTTAGTTCCGTGAGCGGGGTGGTGAGGTATGGCGGTGTATCTTTCCATGTTCTAGCGGAAGATTCATTTTGATTTTGCACGTTTGGTGACTAGGCAGTGCAGCGAGGCCCATTGACCATTTGGCTGCCAGTCCGTCCCGTAGTTTCTTCGGGCCCGGGGGGCAAGTCCCACACTACCGTCTTCCCCCGAACATAACGCACCCTAAAAATGAATGTATACAAGCTATAATCCGGCTAGATACAGTCAAAATGAGGGTGCATTGTGTTCGGGGAAGACGGTAGCGGCCTTAAGCTACCTCAACGCCTGAATCTGGACGCTTTTGTGGAGATATGCAGAAATGGTGTTGAGTTTCTTGAACTGCACGTCTCCACAAACACCTCCAGATTCAGGCCTTGAGGTAGCTCAACGCTGTCTCCCTGTAGAATACCAGGGAGCAGGGCGATTCCAACTCCTCCTACTCACCCAAGAGCCTACCTCAGTGGGTACACCCATGAACTGTTGAAATACAGACCAGGTGCTCAGTTCGAATCCAGATGATGGAACTTGATAACTAAAACCAACTACAAATGAATTGCCTGGGGCCCGTCAGCTCAATGATAATATCTCAAGGCCGTCGCCCTTTCAGAAAAAAAACTAAAAAACTCCTCCTTCAACAGACATCCTACAACAGAATCTACAAGAGTCAAGTAAGAACAACTGCAGTGTGAACACGAAGAAGGGAGAGTGAGTCCCAGTACGGGACAGCAGGGGACAGCGGGCACATCCAACAGCGGCACCTCTGGAGGCAGTGGGTGGGCAGCCGGTGGTGGTGGGAGTCCATGGGACTGGTGTTGGGAGTTGGGAGGAGCACGTGAGAACTACTGTTGACTATCTGGATCTCGCCGGGGAGGGTGAAGAGCTGAAGCTCTACGGGGGGTGGCGCCACCAATGGGAGTGGGAGTTACTCTGG